ACGGCAGAGGATAAGATAGCCAGATGTAAATTATACTGAGAATGTAAAAGAAGGAGGAAAAAAATAATCTTTAAAATAGATTTTAAATTTGAAATCGGGTCAATGTGCGTTAAAGAAAAACGAACCCTCAATAGAATCTCTTGTAGATAATCATGCATTGCCAAGGGTTTCAAATCAGTTTTTAAAAAAAAGTGTCAGATAACCCAGTAAGCATAGACATTAGGCGACTCGAGTCTTTAAAGTGGCTTTGAAATCCCAAATGTAGCTAATTTTGCTGGTAACAATGTTGTGTGTGATTATAGCACATTACCTTATGATCGAGTTCAATATAATGAGGTCAATAATACCGGTAAACAGCAGTACCATTTCATAAGGGAATAGGGCAACATTTCTACTGACATTTCAATGAAGTCATTCCATAATTATAAAGCCAAATAGAATATTCGATATCTATTTTTTTTTAAAGTTGGATACATTATATTGAACCAGTTGTCGTTTCATCCTTGGCATGATATATTAAAATCTAAACTGAAGTGTATTGATGGAATTCCGTCAACAGGTTTCATAGAAAATACACTGCAGTGTACACAATATTAATCATTTATATTGTGCATAATAAATCTGTGGTTTCTTAAAAGAAGAGCATCGGTACCGCTGCAATATACGTCCACATACCTAGTGGTCGCGGCATGCACTAAAATAAATAATTGCTGTCTTTATAGTATAAGGAATAAATATGCAAAGTTTCTAAATGATATATTTACAGTCTATGGACGATAAACACAAAAATTGGTCGTGGCACGGCCCCTGGGGGTTGGATATGGAACAATATAAATAGGCACAACCCTATGATAGCTCATGCTGAACTGGATCCAAATCAGTTAATAATTGCAACCTGTAGATTATTTACAGACAAAATATTAACAAAAAGGGTGTGTGGCACAGCCCAAGTGTGGCGGATCATGCACCAAAATCAGTAGTTGCCGTCCGTAGGATGTAAGGAATAAGTATACCAAGTTCCAAGATAAGCCATTCAGAATTGCGGCCTTCAGATGCTAAACACAAAAATGAGTGTGGTTCTGTCCCTATGGGTCGGGGCATGCACCAAAATCAATAGTTGCCGTCCTTAGGCTATAAGGACTACATAGGCCAAGTTCGAAGATGTTCCATTCAGACTTGCGGCCTGTATATGATAAACATAAAAATTGGCGTGCAACAACCCATTATTAAAAGTTGATAGGCTTCTTCATATACTAGGGGGGTTGGATGGCTGAATGGTTAGCGTGCGCGCGCTATATCATAAAGTCTGTCATTGAGTCGACTGGCGTGGTTTCGAATCCCCGGTTGTACGTGACAAGGAGTAGGGTCGCCTGTCCAACCTCGTGGGTTTTCTCCGGGTCCTCCGGTTTCCTCCCACTGCTAAAGACCCCTACGCGCAAGCGAATTATTGAAATAAAATTAAACCATATGTTAGTCCCGAAATGACGACCTAGTTTGTGTCGAGTGGACGTTAAACCCCATGTCTCTCTCTCTTTCTTCATATACTAGTAATCATACGATGACCTTAGATGGACATAAACACTGTGTATCAATTTCAAATAAATCGGCTCATAACTTTAACCTCTAGAAGGTTCACAAGAATTTTCAAAGTGATCACGGCCCATAATTATCACAAAGTAAGGTCCATGAATGTGAGAAAATCACACAGATTGTAAGTGGGAAGGCATCTTTAATAATTTGATTCCATAAAATAATGATAAAAACATGCCTGTTGAAACAGATGTAAAATTTGTTAAAAATGTGTTCAATTCATATATATTGGACGTTTAGATAATGTGATAAGAAATTTGAAATTGGTTTTTGACATTACATGTAATATGAAATATCTACATTTAATCAGTATGGAATAACATTGTGGCCTTGAGACATTAACGAATGAATTTTCACTTTAAAGCCACGACCTCAAGTATGGTTAATACACCATTAATCGATTATCGTATACAAGATGGTGAGCAGATTTGGGACTTCACTCCCGAAATGCAGGTATATTTCTTTCCTGAAAATCTTAATAACACTGATTCTTCTTTTAAATAGAAGCGATAAACCGCATAATACGATACTGCAGGGTCTATTTGGCGTCTTCTTAATATTTAAAACCATATATCCACACTCGAGATGCAAATATAAAATATATCATTTAGAAAAAAACCGTAATCATCATTCAAAGATTTACAAAAAGAAGCATGATAATGTTAAAAACCGTGTAATGAAATGAAATGAAATGGGGTTTAACGTCCTACTGTTTTGCTCGGAAAGGGGCTAATGAAGACGGGCATACGCCATACAGTGTGCTATGAGGGAAATTTTGCCCAGACAGCGGCACTACGGCCTACTCTTATATCGAATTCCAACTGTCAAGGGATCTTTTACGTGCACGCCAATATGTACACGGGACCTCGGTTTTCCGTCCAATCCGAACGACTAGACAGCTGTCCTTGTCAGGCCCTCCGTCCTGCATCACTGACAAGGCGGGAACCACGTCGGAAAATCTGGATGAACTTTCTCCTCGGCCAATGCAGGGATCGAACATCCGACCTCCAGGCCAGCTAGCAAGCGCCTTACCCACTTAGCCACCGTGACCAAAACCCCCCCAAAAAACACGTGTATCCACTCTGGACATGTAGATGTAAAATAATTATGTCTTTTAGAGAAAATAATAATTCAAGATTTAAAAAGAGAAGCAAGAAACCGCATGTTCATGATATAATGTTACAGGGTCGATTTGTCGTCTGTTTAACGTTAAAAACCGTGTATCCACTCTCGGGATGCAAATATAATATATTTCTTTTAGAAAACAATGCTGTAATCATTATTCAAAGATTTATAAAACGAAGCAAGAAACCGCCTGATACAATCTTACAGGGCCGATTTGTCGTCTTTCTAATGTTCAAAACCGTGTATCGACTCCGGAGATGTAGATATAAAATATCTTTTTAGAGAATAAAAAACCGTAATAATTATTCAAAGAATAGCAAGAAACCGCATGATACAGTGTTACATGCTAAATCCAACTAATTAATCTACATACAAGTAATAAGATGCAAATATAATATATTTCTTTTGGAAAAAAAGTAATCATTATTCACAACACGAAGCAAGAAACCGCATGATACAATCTTACAGGGTCGATTTGTCTTCTTTTTAATGTTAAAAACCGTGTATCCACTCTCGAGATGCAGATTTAAAATATCTATTTTAGAGAATAAAAAACCGTAAAAATTATTCAAAGATTTACAAAGAATAGCAGGAAACCGCATGAGACAGTGTTACAGACTAAATATGACTAATTAATCTACATACAAGTAATAAGGTATCAATTATGATTGATAATTATGTAACTATGTTTAAAAGGACGACAATCAAATCTAATCTAATATATCCCATCTATACATACACAATCAAATTACATTCAGTTCAAAATGATATTCAAACGAAAATTATTATTATTGTTTTTTACTGTGGGATGGTGATCGCCAAAATGATTTCATTAATATCTTCTTGATTAAATTAGCTATACAACCTATATATGTTTGACCGACTGTCCCAGTTAATATCATCGAGACATCCCTCATGAATATTATTTTCCTCGGTAATTGCGGGGATTGGATGGCTGAATGGTTAGCACGTGCGCGCTGTATCATAAAGTCTGTCATTCAATCAACTGGCGTGGTTTCAATTCCCCAGTTGTACGTGACAAGGAGTAGGGTCGCTTGTCCAACCTCATGCGTTTTCTCCGGTTCCTCCGGTTTCCTCCTACTGCTAAAGACCCCTACGCGCAAGCGTATTATTGAAATATAATTGAACCATATGTTAGTCCCGAAATGACCTAGTTTGTGTCGAATGGACGTTAAACCCCATCTCTCTCTCTCTCTCTCTCTCTCTCTCTCTCTCTCTCTCTCTCCTCGGTAAATATCATGCACTGCCTGTTCTGATAAGTCGCACAATTGTTAGGTTTACACCTGTCAGTAAATCGTTACTTATTTCAGATTGACCAATTTGATCGTAAGAATCGCCGATAATTTTAAAGAGATACACTTCACAAACTTGGGATCAGATTTCTAACTTTAGGATTTAAAGACGACAGAATAAAGCCAGTATTAGGAAGACAACGATTGTTTGTCGGCACAACAACTAAACATTGACCTTTCTGAACAGCAAATTATATGAGCCTTTTTAACAACCAACAATTTGGGTAATCGCTTTGGCAAATTGTGAAATGGAGCATTTAACGAGCACCAAAGCCAAACCATTTTGGATGAGTTGGAAATTTATTCAGGACAAACTTTAAGCGATTGTCATCAAATTGACAAATCGTGTCGAGGTGCAATTTGAATAAAGTTGTGCAAGATGGCGTCTGGAAACGTAAGTATTTCTGGAATAGGTAGGGGAAACTTTGTTTCTTTTTTTCTTATTCTCTGTTAAAATGTTAACATGCGTTGGGTTATTTAAGAGGTGACTAAATAGAGATTTTCTGAACTTCAAGAGAAATGTCAGCCATGTTGGTTATTTAACCTTAGCGTTTAACGACTTTACAAAAATTGTTTAAATTATGTCAAAGATATATATAATGATATATGGAAATTCAAATGGGAACTACCTTTAAGCCAATGCATTTAAAATACATCACTGCTTCGCTTCAATTATCAAATAAAAAGAGATATATTTATATACTTGGTATAGTTTGGTATAAACACAATTGTCTTAAAGGGCATGTGCAATTCTTTAAGCCAGTGTATTTAAAAGACATAATTAAGCACGGTTTCGGTCCCATTATCAAATGTGAAGATATATATTTTTGTGTTTGAACATTACTGTCTTAAAGGGAACGTGCATATTTCTTATGGCAATTGAACAAAGGAAAGAGTAATTCCGCACAATGTTCCGTTGTTCGATTTATTGATCGATTTTAAGTCCAGTTTAGCTAAATAAAATACACTTACTTGTATAATTTGTTATCCATGGGTGATTTTTCATGATTTTGAAGATGCCAGCAGCCTTTTTTCTGATTTAAGGACATGGATGAACCAAGATGGCGGCGTTCTTTAATTGCGGTTGTGATGAGTGTCATGGTATCTTTTAATAATTCGTCTTCATTCAACGCCAAATTTAACATAAAAGCTAAAGTTCCTGGTGGGAAATGTTGTAAATCCTTGGTGTTTCTCGTGTAAGCGTTTTCGGTCACAATCCAAGCGAATTCTTGTCCTGTGAAATGAAGTCTATTGGCTTGATCAAGTATCCTCATAGCCAAATGAGCACTAGTGTGTAACACAAATATCCGGGAATTATTATTTCCGATCGGAACAAGTTGATTTGCAATTTCGTTATCCGTGGCTGTATTGGATATAATCAATTCCTCCTCGATATCCCAGTTTTGAGTTTGAGTTAAAGATTTTAATTCCACGTGAAATCCGTCATCTTTTATTTCTTCTTGAATCACCATAGTGTAACGGTACCAATAGTTTACACTCATAAGTCTTGCCAGACCCTCCGCCAAATGGGCTTTTGATGGCATTAAGCTCAAATAGAGAGGATGGTGCAACTGAAAGTAGAGAAAAAATGAATTAATTTGAGATTGTACACCCCAGTTTATCTTGAATATCGTCAGGATTAAATTGAAAGTCATCTGGTTTAATTCATTTTGAGACTAACATGTCAAGGTAGGAGGTACCCAAAAGATACGGAGTTTTGTTTATCTTCGGTAAAAGAAAACGAAAAGTGTTGTATTATTGTTTTGACAAGCCTTGACTGAAACAAAATCAAATCTAATTTGACCTGGTTTGGAATGGATTTAGTCTCAGGCAATCCTGTCAAATCGAATAGAAAAATATTTGAGCTCGACCGATCGAAAGTAGAACGGATTGATCTCAAAATACGTATTGACGTTTGGTGATAATATTGAACCTTTATTGGTTGAAAGGGTAGAACTCGTACAACAACCAGACTGCATATATACATAGATTTCATTGCATTAACAATACATGCCAGACACATAATTTTACACTGGCTTTATTCATCTGTCAGTTTTCAATCTCATGCAATCATTTGTCACAAATTTGTACGCGATATGATAGGAAGACGTGAGAATTATCAAATTAAAAAGCTCTTATTTAAAACCAAAGCCATTCCAAAAAATAAGTTTCAGGGAAATAAGAATCAATATTTCTTCAACATGCGTGTGGGAATATTAAAGGTCACCAGTTCATATTAGATTGGTTATAATATGTTTTTCTGTAAGTGTAACTTGGTAAACTACGGAAAGCACTGTCTCTCTGACAAGATATCCAAGTAATCTATTTGCATTAAGTGTTCTGAAATCAGTTTTTGTTTCCGTCCAACCTTAGTAATGTTGACAGTGAAATTAAACCCCTAAAATGTAAGAATCTGGGCATGAACAATTAAATCACCAAATGGATTGCGAAATAAGACCTTCTATGCAAATGATTTTTCAATGTAAGCATATTCCGAACGCCTGGATAATCGAGATAACATTACCAACTCGTTCGTGTATAGTAAGTAAAGGAACAAAGTAGTTTAAACCTCGATCGTGACTAACGGAAACATGTGTAACGTTGGAATAATATAACCGAGGTCACACCGTTCTTCCACTCTCTTCAAGGGCTGGTTTGAATATGTAAAAAGTGTGTTGAAGTTTTGTTTAAAGGAAATCCGCATCCCTATAAATATATGTTTAAAGCGAGTGTGTCGCCCTTGGTAAGTGTTATTGAAATAGAATGAATATTTTATGCTGAATGAGAAAATACAATTCTTGTTGAAGTGTTGTAAAAGTAATATGCAACTTTTGGTTAGAATGTGGGAGCCACGGTTGCTCAGTGAGTAAGACGTCGGTTCGCTAACATGGAGGTCCGGTGTTACATCACGGTGTTGGTCGAGACAGTTCATCTGGATCCTCTGGCGTGTTCCCCCCTTGTCAGTGGTGTAGGACGGATGGCCTGAAAAGGACAACGAATAGTCGTTCGGATCGGACAAAATACGAAGGTCCCGTGCACACTTTGGTGTGCACGTAAAAGAACCCTTATCAGTTGGAATCCAATATAAGAGTACGCTGTAGCGCCACTGTCCTGGCAAAATTTCCCTCATAATACCCTTTATTTTTATCCCAGTCGGGCGTGAAACTCCATTTCAATTCATTTCTGTTTAGAATGTATAACAACCCGCCAAAAGATTTGACGTGCACGTAAAAGAACCCTTGACATTTGGAATCCGATATAAGAGTAGGCTGTAGCGCCACTGTCCTGGCAAAATTTCCCTCGTAACACACTTTATTTTTATCCCAGTCGAGCGTTAAACTCCATCTGAATTCATTTTCAGTTTAGAATGTATAATAACTCGCCAAAAGATTTCTTTGTCATATTTTCACCAAAGACTGCGAATGTAAAAATCTTGTAATGTAATAATACATGTATAAAACACCAGAAATACATTACGATATGTTCCATGATGAAGGATTATTTAATAGCAATCGTAAAATCAGTTAAAAGTACGTTAAGGTTATGCAAACGTTCAGTTTGCTCCTTTTGTGTTTAAATGTGAATGTTCAACGTTATTTAATGTTTAGTTTAGCTGACTGTGTAAATCGGATTAAGGATCACAGAGTAACTCAGAAAAATGGTTATCAAATCGCTATCAAATACCAATACTTTGTCCTGGAAAGCACCCCAGTCTCTCAATCACTTTCATACCCCCAAAAAAAAAGAAATATCATCTCTATCAATCATGGTGATATGATCTGAATTATTTTTTTACGTGGTTCGGGTACGAACGTATCAAGTCAACGCATGCTGTCCCATCTTCCGGAAATGAAAATGACGGGAACGTGTCAATGATGTACAGATTGGAACCACTAGAAGGCTTCCGGACGTTTAGATCAATACAGAAGGTCGAGGAATTATTTCCTTCTGAGTCTAGAGCTTGATCTGGTCGTCAAGTGACATTATTTGGTAACGTGAGTCGTGATAATGTGATACTATTCACAGACAGACGTAAAAAGCCTTTCATCAATCCATTCTTACTTAATACATGAATATACCTTGTTATCGGATTGTCTGGTATAATGTTTCTTGATAGACGTGGCTACTTAGCCCATAGCAATCATAGTAATTAATATTTATAATAAATAAAAGGTCACTTGGTGTTTCAGAATTTCGATAAGGAAATAGGGCGAGGGGAAGAATTATTTGTTTAATTTTATTTTGTGTACCATATGATTTACAATACTTTTCTTCTGATGGCGAAAACACGAGGGGAACATGGTGGTTGGTGGTGAGAGAGGAGGGAATGACCAATGTGTAAAGCCTGCTATTGGCTGGGAAGAGGGGTTAGTTTCGTTCGTAGCCAATAATGCTACTTGATACAAAGCACAGCCAGTGCAGTTAGTGCGGTGGTTGGTAGGAGTGTAGGGTATTCTGGACCAGAATATTACGAAGCGCAGTGGAGGAAACTGGACCTTATCACAATCGAATTACATTTTACCTTTTAGTCCATAAACCTTTTAGGACCATAAACCCAATTTCATTTTCTTACGGTTAGGCTCGTTCGTTCGTTCGTTCGTTCGTTCGTAGGATTTTACGTCCGCTTCCACCTATGGTTTTGTCGCAAACAAGTGTATCCTAAGAAACCTGCCAGAAAAAAACACACAATAGGCTTAGCCCAGCTTGGGATTCAAACGTGAGATGATTAGAAGGCCTATTTGAGCTCGTTTCCTTAATAAAGAAATAATGCCTTTTTGCAGGGTAGCGTCCAAGGTAAACTTTATCCAAAGGAGAAGTGCCGGGTATTAAAAGTTAGGTAGCAATCCCACTCTTTATCACTTACAAATCGGGATCGAACCCATGAGTTGCAGATAATAGGCCTTGTGATGATTATACCACTTGTTCACGTACACATACTACTTCACACTGATTGAAGGAAAGGGATATTTTACATTTTGTTCATTTTCAGACTAATATTATAATTTTTATTTTTATACTAAAGGGGCTAAACCTCTATCTCAATATTTTCCATGATATTTGAAATTAAAAACAAGAATTAGAATTCAATATTGATCCTATTTACCAGTATTTAAAGGAGCTAAGTCGCTAATATTTGGGACTTAGAAATGGACACAAATGGGTCGCAACGCATACAATAATGTAATATGAATGTACTATTTAAATTGAGTTACATTCAATCGATTCTTTTTTACTGTAATTTCTAATCAATTAGGTTCGCCGACATACGCCAGTATTCTCAATCGAATTTCAATCTCTAGCTTCTGGTTATTCCAGTCTACGCCGATAGTATTTATTGGACATGCTCTCTGGATAAGAATATAGCGTCACCGTTTGACATGACTTGTGGAATATGCCTAGCCTCGTTTTTCGAGTCCCTTATTACAAATAGCACTGAAACGCATTATGGTACACGATTCGTGTACCAATTGTAAAATGATCATTTTGTCTTAAATATTGGATACCAGAAGGCCATCTTTTCCCAGTAAGATCACACCATCAATGTTGATTTAAACCGACAAATAAATCGTGTTTTCAATGTCGAATATTTTGGATGATATTGAGTTAGAGACTTAGCTACTTTAAGACACAATGAACATTTTATATTCAGTACACGATTCGGACACCATTTTGTTATGAACAAAGAAAAACATTTCCTGAAAGACAATGCGGAAGTAATTAGTAATACATGTAGTTTATTCACAAACGACAAAATAATAATAAAAAAAACGTGTAGAATGGACTAAGCTGGCGCAAACGACAGTTGTTTAAATTGGACAGTTCACGTAATTCATCACACATAATTGATTAGAAATCCCAATTGTTTTGTAAATTAAATATAAATCACATTACATTTACATTAATGTGTACTTGTAGACTCATTTTCGTCTATTTTAAGGTCCCAAAGAATAGAAACATACGCCCTTCAACGTGTGCTGCAAAGGAAGAAAATTAATGATCCCCACTCCCCGACAAACACAAATCTAGGTCGAACTAGATAGACTTCGGATTAGGACATGATCTTATCGACAGTCCAGTCCTTAAATAAGTTGACTACCACACTCCCCAACGCCCCTTCCCCACCCCACCCACCCCCATGTACAGAAAAACACGTTGATAACCAGTGCCTTTAGGTTTCTATTTTGTTAGTTTTTCAGAATGTGTGAATATATTTAAAGAAAATTTCAGATTATTGGTTTTACAAACAGCGCCATGTATATTTAATGATTTAATTATAGTTTTGTCGTACCATGGGAAGAACATCAATAATTAACTAAAATATTCCCGCCAGTAATCAGCATGTTGGACATGAAGTAGGTAGTCATGTGATAGTCTATTATCGTTCTCCGTTTAAAGTGCGAGTACGATAGGAAATTATACTTTAGTTATAATGTAGACATCAAACGACGGTCTAACAAAGGATTTCCAAATCTTTCGCGGATGGCAACAAAACGATGTTGATTGGTCAGTCATTAGGGGTTTGCCGTTGATCAATTAGTGAATGAAATATGTCTGTGGATGGTTATTAGAC